TTTAAAATAAAATATATTTTAAAAGATTTAATTCGTTTTTACTTTTTTTTTTTTTATAATTTAATTTCATATCGTTCGGAATGCAAACGACGATCGACGAACGAGGCGTTGTTTCAATTTTAATTAAAAACGAACGAACGAACGTCGACCATTTGTTTTTTTTTTCCCCCCCGCTTTATTTTCACAACGAATGAGTATCAATTTTTAAATGGTGCATTTAAAACGTGTCGCGGGTGCCCACATCGCGTGAATATAGACAATCGTAAAAAAAAAGGAAGAAAAAAAAAATGAAGAGAAAAAAAAAAAAAAAAAGATTCGTTTTGAAAATAATTGTGTGTGTATTTTTTTTTCGTTTCCGCCCGAAACATAATAAAACGTCTGTATGTACATAAAACCTAAAAAAAGAAACACATTATGTTTTTGTATGTTTGTCGAACAGAGAGAAGAAAAAAAATTCGATTTTAAGGGGTAGTAGGACTGTTTTTTTTTTTGTAAAATATATAACACGAATGATTTGGAGGGGAAAAAAGCATACGTAGCACAAGTTAGACAAAAAAGATGATGGGGGGGAGGGAAATTTCCTTCAAACATTCACGGATCTTTAAACACTAAACTAGCGGGAGAGCTGCTACAGCCAGCCAGCCAGCCAGCCAGCCAGCCATTGTTCAATAACGAAAACTGAATAAAATTTTCTCAACAGTGTTTAACTTACGGTAAAAACGGTTGTGTAACAAACACACTGTGTGAGTGAGAGAGAGAGATAGAGAGTGAGAGAGTGAGAGAGACTAATATACGCGGTAGAGAATTTGCGGGGAGTAAGGCGGGCACACAAAAGGGCATTGACGTAAAGGGGGGAGTATTATACACTCTTTTTAAATGCACCTAAAAATCCTACGAGAAAAACCCCTCTAGTGAGTTTTCGAAGCTGAAAAAGTGAAGTTGACCGATTTTCCGATTACTATATATATATATATATATACATATATAAACACCATTGACACACACAAATTATGAAAAAAAAAAAAACAAACACACACACGTTGTAATAACATGAATAACATGAATCGATTAACAAAATATACTTAGAAAAAATACGCCGCGAAAAAATTTTTTAACCAAAAAAAAATTAAAGTGGGTCGAGTGACGCGTCGTACGTGTATATAACCAGTACGGTGAAAACCATTACATGTAAACTCCGATGGCGAAGCAACCTTCGATTTCGATTCAATTCACTTTTAATCCTTTTTTTATTTATTTCATTGTGAAATTTAATAAATGTGCGGTTTGAGTTATAAATAACGACAGTTAGTAGATTTGTTTTGTACAAAAATTTGACATGCACATGCTTCCTATCAGGAACCAAGACAAAATAATTTAAGTACGAAAATAATATGAAACCACTCACCAGATTCTTTGCACATACATTCCATTTAGTACGGGGTTCACATGCTCTAGCTCCAGGGATTCCGGTCATTTCATTGGTTCCCGCGCGTGACGTCACTCAATTCAACTGTTTATTAGTTTGTTATTCGAGCGCTAGTGTCTCGATACGCTTGCTTTTTTTTTTTTTTTTTTTTAACATAAACGAAAGCAAAATATTGTTGCTTTCGCGTAAGTTAAGAATGATAATCGATTCTTTTTCCTTTTTTTTTTTTTTCTTTTTTTTCTTTTCTCCCCGTGAAACGTTATGTCTTACTTAAAAAAAAAAAAAAAAAAACTATTTTATTAACATGAAACAAAATCATGAAAGAGGGAGGAAACTTTTCATAGGGTCAGATATTATATTAATAGGAAACTCCCATTTTTATTTACATTTTTTATATAAAGAGCCTGAATAATTTGGGACAAACGCACGCACGCACGCACGCACACACACACACACACGCTAAATCCACGACTCCGTCATTATCATCATTATTATTATTATTATTAATGCCCTCATTTAAAACGATACGATACGCATGTATATTCGATTTTTAATTATTGCGTAATTAAATTTTTAATTACGCATAATTCCTATCGGAAATTTAAGAAGGAAGGAAAAGAAAGAAAATAATAATAATAAAAAAATGATGACGACAGAAGGAAAAATAAACATCATGCGTAATATATTACTACTATTACTACTACTACTACTACTACTCTAAACGAATAAAAAACTTTAAATTTTTTTTAAAATTTTTATTCGTTAATAATAATAATAATAAAACTTAGGGCCCGAAAAATTTAATTTAAATATAAATCATTAAATGTTTAGTTAAAGAAAAAAAAAAAAAAAACATGAACGAAAGTTTTTTTAAAAAGTTTCTCATTTGACTAATCTCACCACCGTCGCCATGTTGTGTCCGATAATAATAAATTTTAACGAAATCGGATGAATGATTTTTAACACAAATCTAACAAAGAAACAAAGAAAAATTTATGCGGGATTTTAATATTTTATCCTTTGTTTTTTTTTTTTTTTTTAAACAATTAAATGGCCGACATGATTGAAAAAAAAAAAAACCAAAAGAATAGAGGGTAAAGTTTCGATTTATTTATAATCCGTTAAACGAATTCGACATTGTTCTGGAATGAGTTTTTTTTAAAAATCTTTTCCGTTTTTCAAATAAGGAAAAAAATAAAATAAAATAAAATAAAAGAGGGAAACGAAAGAGAGAGAGAGAGAGAATTAAAATCGATATTTTCTAAAAACAAAGGAAAATAATACGTGTGCCAAAATATTTTCTAAAAAACCGCCATCGCCATCGAAACCGTCGTTTCGCGAACGTTAAAATCATAACGAACGATGACCATTTTGTGAAAACCGTTCTGACACGAACGAATGAATTTTCAAAAATGGTAATCGAACATTAATTGATTCCACGAATAAAAAAATGGCGGGGTTTTCGTGTCAACAACGAAAAAAACTCGAGCACTTTTCTGTTGGTTCCCTCCCCCCTTCCCACCCACCCACTTTAAATCACATCTCGTATTAACTCCCACACGTGTGTTTAAATAAATTTGTGCCTACCTACCTATCTACCATCTCCCCTCCTCTCTGCTCTACTTGTGTTCGAGCGTGTCTGTCTGTGTGTCATCATTACCACATCCACCACCACCATCATCATCATCATCATCACGGGATGTTTCGATATCCGTTTTCGGATTCAAATTACTTCTGCGAAGTTATAAAAACAAACGGAATTATTCGGTTTGTTGGATTTCAACAACCGACAAACGAATCAAACAACTTAGAATTATGTTTAACTTATGTTACGTAAAGGGTGTTAAATTCATTATTATTATTATTATTATTATTATTATTACTACCATAAAATTTACGTAACGGAAACAAAAAAAAAAAAAAACTTCACGCCGTCGTAATAAAAAAAAAAAATCTTAACGTAAATTTATCACGGTTTTTAATTAAGTTAATTATTCTCTCTCTCTCTTTCTCTTCCCCCCTTCCTCCCTACCGTTTTCTATCAAGTAGAATTTTCTAGAACGTTTTTTTTTCTTCCCAATGTATTCTTCTCCTTCGTCGCGTCCTCCTCTTAGGCGCCATTTTTTTTTATTTGTTGGCACGTTTCAAACTTCCAAATTTTCCATTTCCGGTTTTTTTTTTTTTTTTGTTTTTACCAGAATAAGCCTTTAATTAAAATTTTAAAAAAAATGATTTTGTTTGTTCATACCTTTTTCCCTTTTATCGGGGAGAATCCGGCAAAAAACGAAAATGGCGGGAAAATTCAAATTCAAATTATTTTCAATCTCATCATGTTCTTTTCTTCGATGTGTGACGTCAATGCAACGTCATACCTGCATACAACGTTTAATTATTTATTTATTTAAATTAAATTTAAATTAAGTGATAAAACCTTTTGGACTTTACGAAAACAAACAAACGAATAATAATAATAATAATAAAACAATTTACGTTTTTCACTCCTTGTTATTATTATTATTATTATTATTTCTTTTTTTCTATCACTAGTAATTAATATTCTTTCCCTCGTTTTCTCATTATATAATTATAAAATCACGGGTAGGGTAATTAATACAATTAATTTACCTTAAATTTATTACCTCGCCTTTTTCTTCATCGTGCATTCCATTATTATTATTATCATCATCATCCTTATTATTATTATTATTTAATAATTAAAACAAACGCACGAACGTCCTTTTGCATCGTGTGTTCATTTTCGTCGTGTGAATTTCAATTTTCTTCAATTACAAAAACAGTCCACGATTATTCCATTTTTTCTTTCTTTATATAACGATGGTGGGGGGGGGATGTGGGCGTGACGATGGTGGGGGGGAGTGTTATATTTAATTAGTTAAGACGACGACGACGACGAGGACGTGAAATTCGTGTAGATTTCATCTTGAATCAAAATTATATCATGACAAACGTAAAATCCTACGGATTTATGACTACTCCTCCTTCCACCTCCTCCAAGTCTCTTCTTCCTTCTCTTCTTATTATTATTATCATTATTATTATTATAATAAAAAACACAACAAAATGGTGACGTTAATCACTTTTTAAAAAAGTTGAAGTTTCTTTTCATTCTTCTTTAAATTCTTTTTCGAAATGACAACTTGAAACGTTTTTTTTTCTTTTTTTTTTAAAATTACGATTTGAACGTCGCGTTGAACGTCGACCGAACGTTAGGCGTTCACAACACCCTTACCCTTCGCCCCCCCTTTTTTTTTTTTTACGCGCTAAAATGTTAAAAATTTAATTGTCGTGAGAAAAAAAAAAAAATTTATATATTATAATTTTAATTAAACTATTAAAAAAAAAAAAAAAATCCTTTTCTTCCCTTGATGATAATGATGATGATGATGATGATCAAATTTTGTCATTTTGAGTAAAAAAAAAAAAAAAAAAAAAAAATTATTTAAATACCGACAAATCAAACCGTCTTGTTTTTTTTTTTTTTTTTTTTTTTTACAAACATGTTTCTTTCTGTCGGTTATGTCAACTTCCGACTTCCGGTATTTTTACTTTATTATTATTTTCTAAGGCAAAATTTCACGTGACTGACAATTTTTTTTTTTTTTTCTTTTTGAATTTTGTTGTTTCCAATTATTATTATTATTATTATTATTATTACGTGGGCTTGATGGACAGATACATTTTTTTCTTTATCATTTGCTTGTCCGGATTTATGTTCTTTAATATTTGCGTCATGACGTTCACGAGTTGATCCGATGACAAACCCGTTTTTTTACTTTTGAATTTTTGTAATAATTCTATAGTCGTCATCGGTTTTCTCATTAGATAACGACGAACGGCTTCTTCCGTCACTCCCGTTTCGCTGAAAAAAAAAAGAAAGAAGAAAAATTATCATCATCATCATCATCATCATCATCTCCTTCATCGGGCCTACACGTTCGCGACTCGATCACTTACTTGCTGTTGTTCAAATACGACAGACTGGAACCGCTCGATATGGACGAATTATCTAATTTAGCTTTTTTAGCTGCTGCCACGGCCGATTCGCTATTTGTTAATTTTCTTTTATCTCCGGCATTTGGTCCGCTATTCGACGCCGGAGTCCCCGATCCCGAATTGTTGTTACCGCTAAAAAATTTGAAAAATTTACGAGTTTAGTTTTATTATTTGATTTTTCTTTTTTCTTTTTTTTTTTTTTTTTTGTAAATTATTTTCTTCATCGACCTATTATTCATCTCTTTTGATTTTCCTCCACTTTTGGATTTGTTATTTCCGGCATCGCTATCACTGTCGGAGCTATTCGGACTCAACTCGCTGGAAGAATCATCTTCGTTCTTTCCGATTTTTTTTAAGCCTTTATTTTTGGGTTTGACATCCTTCGAAGGTTTTTTCTTTTTACTCGCATCTTCTTTTGTTTTATCACCGTTTGCTTTCTCGTCTTTCTCCTTTTTATTTTTAGATTCTTCATCTTCGCTGTGAGATGCTTCCTCTTCTTTCTTTTCTTCATTTTCTTCATCTTCCGACTCGGAATTCAACAATTTTCTTAACGCATCTTCTTCTGCAACCCCCTTCAATTCTTTATTGGCTTTCATTTCGTGATCGGATGCACTAATAAATAATAAATTATTATTATTATCATCATGGAATCAATAGTGATTTGCATGATTTACTCATAATTTTTTTTTTAAACACCTTTCAGACGAATCGGATATGTAGTCTAATTCTCTGCCTTCTTCGTCACCGTCATCGCTTTCCTCCACGGCTTCATCATCCGAATCTTTTTTCTTTTTTTTTTGAGCAATTTTTTTATTACCCTTTTTCTTATTCTTTTTAGAATCCTCATCGTCACCGCTCCCCTTATCGTCGTCCGAATCCGATAAATCATCATCTGAATTTATCCATTCGTCCATTTCAGAGATTTGTAAATCTGTTTAAAAAAAAAAAAATCATAAATTTTCGCATTACTGCGATGTTTCCTTCCCCCCCCCCCTTTTCCTATTACGATCCTGTAATTATCTTTAAAAAAATCTCCATTTACCTCTTTCTTTTTTTTTCCCACCACCTTTTTTCCCTTTCGGTTTGTCCGGATCTTCTAATTCTTCATCTTCCTCATTTTTAAATCTGTTTTTAATCATGACCGAAAACAAATTCATTACTTTGTTTCGTCTAAAAAAGAAAAACCCAAGGAAAATATTAACGGCTGTGTACACACTTAACATATAAAAACTTTTTATAAATATTAATTTAATTTCAGGCACCTTCCAAACTCGATTTCAGCTTCTTCTGCAGTCAGAGCTTTATATCTTTGAATCGGTTGAAATTTATACCATTCTTGTAATGGATATGCTTCAATTATTTCATTTCCGGCTTGTGTAAAAACATAGTAAGCGGTATTGTCGGCAACCCCTCCTTCCCTGATACCCTTAAATCTGAAAAAATTTAACATTTCAGTTGCTCATCAAAATTTTTATAGTGAATTAAGGGTAAAAAAAATTCACTCGTTAAACAATGAATGCTTACTTTTTACCATTTTTTCCACCCAGCTTTAAAATCCACGGTTGATCTTCTGGTTTATACTTTTTCGCTACAATGCCATATTTTTTACGTCTGGCTTCTTCCCTTGCCTCCCTACCAAATTCACTACCTGCTCCAAATCTAGAAATTTAAATCAGATGTTTTGTGCATGTGCCTCTGAAACTACTGAAGAAAAAAAATTTGCCAAACTTTTTCAGAAAGAGAAAAAAAAAAAAAAAAAAAAAAAAAAAAAAAAATTCAAGATGTCTAAATAAGCTAATGCTGATATAATAAATTTTCATGATGTTGAAATTCTTGACGATTTAGTAATTTTTAAGAAATGAAAAATCAGTCAAATGCTAAACATTTCTTTTTTTTTTTTTTTTTTTTTTTTCATTCGTAAAGAGAAAACAAATTTGTTTTTGATAAATTAAAAACTTTTTTACGATAAGCAATCATAACAAAAAAAATTTCCCAACTTGAATCTTATGATGAACGAGTTTTGTTAGAAATTTTTAATTTACAAAATTATAATAATAATAAAATTACTCACTTGGGTATTTCTTCTTCAGCACCCTTATATTCTTTAAAATTATTTTCACGCTCCATTTTGACTTGAATGTTTTGAGTTTTCCATTTTACAAAGTCGACAGAAAGACTCGAGTTAAATCTCATAACATGATACTTTTTCCTCGTATTCCTGAAAGTAGCCAAAGTAGGTCAGAGAACCGATAAAAATGTTAACAAAAGCCAAAAACGAAAAAAAATTAGAAATGGTTTTATTGGGAACTTTAATTGAATTCTGATAATATAACGTGTGCGTCACTTACTTGGGTACTCTTATTGAATATTCTTGAACAGATCCAACTGGTTTCACTCCACCTGACGTTGCAGTAGCCTAAAAGGAAGGTAAACAATCACGGTTAAATTATAATATTATTTTAAATCATTTACCAGCGACGAAAAAACGAAAAAAAACATTTAAAATAATTATTCGAATGTGTATAAACATGATTAAATGTTGAAACATGAAAAAAATTAAAAAATAAATCAAATACTGCAAACTTTACAAGTGATTGAAACACACAATACAATCATTTCTGTTTAAAAAAAAAAAATTTTTTTAAATAAAACTCACGGAATGAGACGAGTAGGACGTCATTTTATTATTTCAAAAAAACTATATAATTCTCGCACGCATTCATAAAATTAATTTTTTTTGTAAAAAAAAAAAAAAAAAAAGTTTTTCAATCGTTTAAAAAGAAAAAAAAAAATTACTGTGGTGGTAAATGAACGAAACCTGTGAGGGAGTATATATAGCTAAGCTAACATTTGCTAACTTAAATTAACAACGACCGAATTTAATTTTTTTTCGTCTTGTTTCCTTTGCATCATTTGACGCGCCACTCATTCGTAGCAAATGTCATTTTGTCAACAAAGATGGCGGCTAAACATGGGAAAAGTTTTAACAATATTATTAGAAATGAAATGAAATGTAAAATTTTATAGTTTTTTAAAGTGTGAGATTTATCACAAAACAAAACAAAACAAAAAAAAAAAAAAATGAGATTAAAAAGAGCGGCAAGACTTATTTATTGTTTATTTGGTAAAGTTTATTAAAATTTTGTGTTATTGTGAAAAGTACATATATATAAATTTGCGCTTTGATAAAAAAAAAAAAAAAAAAAAAAAAATAAAATAAAATAAAATAAATTAGAGTTTACGTTAAGTATTTCACCTGAATATTTGCAATAATGCCTTCTCATATGATGATAAAAACTATTTAATATCAATTAATGTAAAAACGAGTGAATTTAATAGTAATAATAATAATAATATAAGAATTTTTTTTTTTTTTTTTTTTTTTGTTAAATAAAAGTTTATTAATTAAAAGTACGTAGAGAATTTTCGGGCATTGTCACATACACACACAGTATCAGATGAAGAGTTCAAAGCATTCATGCAATAATTATAAAAATTTTTGTCGCATGACATGCTCTTAATGTTTTTGTGGTAAATATTTATTACATAATAATAATAATTATAATGAATTCTGCTGGTACTGGGTATAATTACTCTCGCATCTTCAAAATCTTTATTTCAGTTTATTTCTGTACACTGCTTACATAATCGACAAATTAATTTAAAAATTTTAATAAAACTTTTTTCAATCGAGAAAAGAAAGAAAGAAAGAAAAAAAAAAAAAAAAATTTTTTTTTTAATTTTATTTTTTACATTCAAATCGGCTTCATCTTTTTTTTTTTTTTTTTTTTTTTTTTTTTGCAATCAAAGCATGGTTATTATTATTATTTTTTTTCTTTCGCTAACGAGAGTTTTGCATGGGTTATTCATAAAGATGAACTTAAATAATATTAAATCATTTTTTTAAATCGTAAGCATGCATTTTTTTTTCAAAAAAAATTTGCACTCAATCATTTGCTTTTTTATAATTTTTTACTCAGAGCATAGAGTAATAATAATGTTTTGATTGGGTTTTTTGGCATTGGTATTGGTTTTTTTTCGATTTTAATTTTTTATCGGTTGAGGTTTGTACGAGTTTGGGTTTAATTAATTATATTACAAATTCCCTTTAGACAAATCACACTTTCATTCATCCTTGAATTCAAATTTGTGACCTTATTTTATTAATAGAAAAAATAATATTAACAAATTTTTAATTGATACCATATTAAACTCGTTTTGAAAACTTGATTTCGATAATTGTTTAAGTGGAAAATAGATTGATTGATTCTATTCCTCGACCGCCATTCACATATTAAACTATCAATAAATTTTCTTTAATCGATTATAATAATTTGATTTAAATCGAATGCAAGAAAGGTTGTGATATTTCTTCCCATGAATTTTAATTTTTTTTTTAAACTCTTGCAAAAGTATAAAGAAAATGATAGATTCCTAATTTTTTTCTTTTTTTCTTCTCCCCCCCCCTCGAGCAATTTTTTTTTTTTTAATGTTCGATTGAAAAATTCCAAATGATGGAAGTAAATAATAATAATAATCTACGGTTTTGCGGTCTTAAACAATTTTGTACAGGTTTTTTGTTGACTACGTCGTCTGCTAGTTATTCATCCTCGAGCAAGGTTTTTTTTTTTTTTTTTTTTTTTTTCGTTGTTTCTAACAAACAAACAAACAAACAGTCATTCAAATGGAATTTAACAATTACGAATATATAGTCAGATAGAAATAATCGTCAATTATAAAAAAAAAAAAAAAAATTTTTTTCTTACTTATAAGGTCACCACGTTGAGATTAAAAAAAAAAAGGATTTCGAAGAAGGGAAAGAGAGAGAGAGAGACAGAAACAAAAGAGGAGGAAAAA